CTCCCCTCCTCCTCTCGAGCATCCACGGTAGCTGGTCCACGGGGCTGGTGAGAACGGGGGGATGATGGTGATGATGATGGAGGATGAGCGCGACCGGTGAAGAAGGGGCGAGAGAAGAGTGAAGGCAGCCACCGAGGAAGCTATCCGAAACAACGAAGATGAGATGGGATGCCGCTCTATATCTACTCTCGCTGCTGCTCTTCTCCTTGGCCAATCTATGTTGGGCTCTCGTCGAAACGCGAGGTACGTGCGAATCTCCTTCGTATATATATATATATATATTCTTCTTTTTTTTTTCTGTTTCTCTCTCTCTCTTTTTTGGCTCTCCTCGCGGAGATTAATTCGCTCGATCGAGACCGAATGCTTCGCTCTCGTATCCATGGATCGTTGGTATAAGAAAACTTGGCGAGCATAGGCGAAAACCAATTTCCACGGGAATATCACGTTTTTGTGTATATATATATATATGTGTATATGATGTATGTGTAGTTAAGGGGGAGATAAATTTTTGGCGTGGATTTTCAGCGACCATTTGTTTTTTTTATCCGTGGATTATTTTTTTTTAAGGGGAGGAAATATCCCTCCACTTGGTACGGTCCTTTTCTTCTCCTTTCTTGCAGATTTTTTTCAGGGAAATTGTGGATTCCCGCGCAGTTGCCCGGGGAGATTTAAGTTTTCGGGGGATAGGGAAGGAATGTGGAAATAAGGAATGGGAAATTCGAGAAATGAGTAAGGGTTTTGTAACGCTTTTGGGTATTTTTTTTTTTTTTAAATAAACAAGGTGGAGAAGGTAAGATAATAAATCTATGATGAATAGAAAAAAATCGAAATATTTCTCTTTCGTTCTTATCCCTTCCTCATCTCTTCCCAATTTCGAGTGAAAATCAAATCGATATTAAATCATCGCCTGTTTTCTCTCTTTCTCTTGGAATTTCATCCCAAAAAAGGAGACATCGTTGTTTGCCACTTTTTTTTTTTAATAAACAAGGTGGAGAAGGTAAGGTAATAAATCTATGATGAATAGAAAAAAATCGAAATATTTCTCTTTCGTTCCCATCCCTTCCTCATCTCTTCCCAATTTCGAGTGAAAATCAAATCGATATTAAATCATCGCCTGTTTTCTCTCTCTCTCTTGGAATTTCATCCCAAAAAAGGAGACATCGTTGTTTGCCACTTTTTTTTTTTAAATAAACAAGATGGAGAAGGTAAGGTAATAAATCTATGATGAATAGAAAAAAATCGAAATATTTCTCTTTCGTTCTCATCCCTTCCTCATCTCTTCCCAATTTCGAGTTAAAATCAAATCGATATTAAATCATCGCCTGTTTTCTCTCTCTCTCTTGGAATTTCATCCCAAAAAAGGAGACATCGTTGTTTGCCACGAGCTTCCCCCACCCTTGATCCAATAACGAACGAAACGTACAGGGAAGGAGGAACAAGCTCTCTCGAGGATAAAATTCTATATATATATATATTTGTTTTGAAATTCAGCGCGTAAAGAAAGGTGTTACCCCTTTAAAAAATAAAGAGAGGGTGAATTGAGGATCATCCGGTTATCAGATACGTGCTCGCGCATACGATTAATTATATCGAGAGTGTTGGCCCCCCTCGAGGGAGGGGGGATTGCTTAGGAATTTTTCGCGGCGAAAAGGGTGAAATTCGCGCGGGGGATGAATATTCATGCGGGGCCGCGCTCCAAGTCGAACATAATCCAACCGTTCGACAACGTGACAATCATTTCCGATTTTCCCTTGATTCGGGGCCGCCGGTCAACTCCGCCCGGTATTCAAATCGTGCCTGCGTGTAAAGCGGCGCGAGCATTTAAATTCCACGTGTTCAACGACGATTCGAATTAAACAATTCGTCGGTCGCAATTATCCGTGCCGTACCGCATACTGCTCGTTCTGCTATTTTAATTAACCGGAGAAATAATAACGTCGATAATTTCGTGACTCGATTTCGTTTTTGTTTTTTTTTTTTTCTTTCTTTCTTTCTCCCTTTCATCGAATGAATCGACGAGGAGATGGAATCGGAGAGAAGTTTATTGAACGAATAATTTTAATAGGACGAGTGTCAGAAATGTTATAGGGATAGATTGTGAAATTGGTTTGAAATTAAAGTAATACGTTGAGGTAAGAATGTATTTGATAAAGGAAGGGAGGGGGTTACGTTATGTGGATCGTAGGTCGTTCCGATGTCTCTTGTTCTGTTATTTAGATCGCAGAGTTCACTGAGTTCGCGTCGCATGGCGCACAGTGGTTCGAATAATTTATATTAACTGGATTCGAAATTCATTTTCGAATGTGTAAAAAAAATAATTGTAACGTATAACAATATCAATAGTTGAGAAATGTTCTGTAAATTTATTAAAAATTATCGATAAGTTTTTTGTTTTTTCTTTCTACTTTTTTTTTATATTGATTCGCAAAACTTTACAAAACTGTATTAAAATTAATTTGTCCGCCAATAGTGAATTCTTTAATTCAGCTATTGATATTTATGGATTGATTTTAAGCTACATTGCCTGTAACTTTTTTTTTTACTTCTGTCACACAGATATTTTATGCGATTACGAAATCACAAATATTTGTATATCTTTTATATATTGATTATTATTTATTTTCTTTTGTATTCTATTCTAATCAATCGCAATGTTAATTTTTTTACATTATTTAGTCATATTTTTAATGAAATAATAAATTATAATAAAAAAAGTAGTATTGCTTTCTAAAAATTAGATCTCAAAATCTGGAAAAAAATAATTTTGTTCGAACCACTGTGGCGGCGGTTTAAAAAAGAGAAAACGATAATCGGGTCCTTGACACTCAATTCGCATATAAATATACAAGATACGAGCATATTTGAATAAACAAGAAACTTTTCGAAATAATAAAGGATATTAAATTTCGCAAAAGAAGAGTCACGTTTACGGAAAATTTTCTTCCAAAATTCCCCTTTTATTAGAAAAATTCACGTGTCGTAGAAATATAAATAAAAATCGTCGTCTCGAACGCGTAGAACGATTGCATTTCAGAGAAGAATAAGAAGAAGAAAGAAGCGTGCAGCGCCTCCCGCGGAATGACCGTTGCTTGGCAACGGATATTCTTATCGTACTTTAACGATTGGGCAAAAAATTCGACAATTATACGCAGCCGACGACCAATTTGCAATTGACTCGCGTGCGAATCCACCGATAATTATTAGTATCCCGTCGCATTATTAGAGATCCTGTCCTCCACGTTCGAACAGGCGATATTCTATATTGGTGTGGCCGCTGAATTATGGAAATTGGCCAGGTCGGCCGCTCGGCAGCCCTGCTAATTAATTATTAATGCGAGCGCTACTTATTGGCACGGCCTGGTCGTGTCGATGAGCGGAGAAATTTTTACTCACTCATACTCACGGCTCTTACGTTAATTGGCCGAGTGAGTTATGGCAAAGTTCAATCATTGAATCACTCTCTGATGAGAAGAAGAAGAAGCACTACTTAATACGGAGTGCAGTCACGACTCACTTGTTTATTGATCGTCGTTCTGATTTCTTCTTCTTTTTCTTTCTTTTTTTTTTTTTTTCTCTTGTTAATTAATTATTAAATTGATATATGAAACGGATGTTCAATTAAATTATAAATATACGAATTATTGTTGATTGTTGGTTGTATTCGTT